GGTGTGTGTGTGTGTGTATATATATATATATATATATATATATATATATATATATATATATATATATATATATATGTATATAGTGTGTGTGTGTGTGTGTTTTAGAAACAGATAAAAGCAGCCTTAAAATCTAAATGAAAAAAAAATACTGCTGCAGAATGTTTAAATGACACTTATTTTGTTATATATTCTAGGTCTTTTTATATTTCCTTCAGTAAATAACGAATAACATAACTTGGGGTTCAACTTATTTTGGCTTTACAAACATGGAGGGTATTTTCCACAGTCTTCATGCCCTGGATACCACAGCCCACAAAGCTTTCAGGAACTAAAATTAAGGCACGCTTTTGGCTGTAAATAATGTTGCATTTGGTTTTTCAATGTGTGGCACGAAGCTCAGTAAATAATTCTGCACGACACATTTGCACACTCCTCCTGAAATTTTGCACTCTGACAATGAAACACCTGTAAATAAACTTAGCCAAGTACTAAGATGACTGTAATTTTGAACGGCACTCAGATAACAAACCAGACTATCACAGAATTATTGAAGAAATGAGGTTGCAACCAGTGCAAAGTCTTGATAATCCTGCCATGGCTTTTAGGCCACTGATATCAGGTCTTTCCATTTTTGGTTCATTTCAGAATAATGGCAGAGGCAGTGAGGCTTCAGATAAGGAAATTATTTTATTTTAATTTTGACACATTTTCAATTTTAACCAGTTAGATGTTACAGTAAGACTAAAGACAGCTCCATGTTCAAAAATGATTTTGTTGATGAGGTCATGTTGTCTTTAGGTGAAACCTGAAATACAAAACAGTTTGATTGAGTCATAAGAGGTTCAAGAACGACTCAAATGATTTGATCATGCTGTGAGAAGTAGCAGGATTTTAATCTTTTCATTCACTGACAGTTAAATAAAACAGGGTTGTATGTTTGCTCATGTCCTTGACTGGAAAACACATCTACCGTAATCTATAAGCACATAGTTAAAACTATTATAAAAGTAGCCCAGATGTGTTGTTTTTTTTAGAATATGTTCCTTTCATCAGCGTCTGAAGCAACACCAGATGTTTTTTCTCCATCCGACAGACTAAATCAAAGCATCAACCATCATTTGGAAACAAAATAAAGACTTTTAAAAAGAAGGAGGTGGAACAACTCTGATTAAGTGTGTTAGAGTTTTACACTGCTAATGAGGGATGTATATGGAATGAGAAGAAGGTCAGAATCACTTTGTGCCTGTGTAAATGTAATTACAACTAACTATTCATTATGCAACGGTTCGGCTTTCAGTGAGCCCTTGAAAAGCTGTGCCTTGTTTAGAAGTAAGTTGTTGAAAGAGCAAAGTTTTAATCATTCCCTATATCACAGTTGTAATGAGATTTCACTCAATATGTTTCATACGAAAGGCCAAATAATACAATGAAAAACTCAGTGGAAGCCAGGAGAACGTCAACTCTCATCAGCTAACATGGAATGAATTGTAGTCTTTGCAAACGTTGTTGTCAGTGGCTCCATAGCTATATATATATATATATATATATCAACATGAAAATTGATGCATTTGCTCCAGCATTTTAATTATTATAATAAAACACTCATAATGATTCGCTGGTGTCTACATTGCTACTTCTTGGTTGTTTGCAGGATCATTTAATTGATAAATAATTTGAAACAAATTCACTAAACCATATCTAATGATTCGCCCATCCATTATCTTTACCCGCTTCTTCCTTTTTGGGTAACGAGGGTCACTGTCCATCTATCACTGTGCAAGAGGCGGGAGACACCCTGCACAGGAAACAAGTCCATCACACAGACACATAGAGATGGTGGGTGGGAAAGGTGAAACACCCATACCTGCCTCTATTGCCCCACCTTGAGCCCTTGAGCAAGGCCCTTAACCCCCACCACATGCTCCCTCTGTCGCCCCAGATAGCAGCTCTCTGCTCCACACAGAGGGCTGTGGTGGCTCAGTGGTCTGTGGTTGTGTCAGGAAGGGCATCCGGCGTAAAAACATATGTCAACTCTTCGTGCAAGTTAGTTCGCTGTGGTGAACCCTGAAGAAGGGAGCAGCCGAAAGAAGAAGAAAAAAAAAAAAAAAAAAAAAAAAAAGTTGAACATGCATGTTTTTGATTGTTGTTACCTGGAGAAAACCCATGCATGCATGGAGAGAACATGCAAACTCCACCCACAAGGGTCCCCCACAAGGATTTGATCCTGCAACCTTCTTGCTGAAAGCCAACAACTCTACCAACTGAGCTACCGTGCCACCTTATATCTAAGTATAAAATGGCAACAACTCAAATATCTTTATGGCAGCATGTAGCATTTTAAAGCAACAAAATGTAAACGGTTCCTTTTGACAGCTAATGTTTTGTTTAAAAAAATACTGCCATAATACCATACTCTAATAAGAAATATTTGCTTACATTTGATTATAGGAATGCAGTTTGAATTATTAATGTTTTCCTTTATTAATTAATTATTGCTTTAAGTTAGAACTTGTTAAAAGTTTAAACAGTTTGTCCCCTGTTCACCTCATTTTGTGTAAGATAAGGTGATTTGTATTATATGCAAGAAAAAAGTGACATATGAGCAGCATCTTAAAACTCCTTCTTGTACATATTCACTAAGGCTGAACAGAAGGCTGAGTTTGTTATAATCCCTCTTCTGTTCAGTCTGTGGGGGTAGGAAGCAGGAGGTATGTAAGCCCAGTGATTATGGTGCCCATTCAGTTTAACTTCTGCCAAAAAAAAAAGCCAGCATGCACCCATGTCTGGACAGATAGCAGCTCTTAAGAGACACCGCAGTCAGCAGTGCATTGGTTTTACCTGTCGAGACTCTCATTGTGTCAAAAACGCAGCAGAGAGGAAAGTTAGAAGAACCACAAAGCCCAAAGAGCAAGAGAAAGAAAGAAAGAAATAGTTCTTTGACAAGTGCAGTCTTGGTTGTTAAAATCAACTCTTCATGCTCGATCAGTTTCTTTAAAAAGATTCTTGGTGGAAACGGTTGGTGAGGCTCCCGGGTTGAGTCCGCTACACAAAACGTGCTCCTCCTGTTTGCCTTCCCTGTTGTCTAATTACTCGGCTTTTCTCTCAAATGGTTGCCGTTGAGCTTCGGCAAACATCCCTTCGCATCAGAGTCTTTAACCCTGATGTCAGTAGTCTCTTCAGGACATAGTTTCAGTGGTTTTTCTCTCCAGCTTCCAAGCTCGTCTCAGAAGTTTGCTTTCAAAATCAATTTGTTCCACTACACATAACCACGGCCTACAGCCCCGGTCAGTGACTCTAACCTGGACTCCTCTTGGCCCTGGATCCCACTGGCAAGATCTTGTCTCAGTCCCACAGATGGTGGTTTTTCAAATAACTGAAGGTGTGAAAGTAGAAAGAAAACAGTTGGAATTACAATCAGAAGTAAATAAGCTAAAACTGTAACATTCGTGATGTTTGTGTACTAATTTGCTGTGTTTTTAGTAGGAACATTTAATTACCAGTATCTGACCTCAGTACTGTCTCATCAACATATACAGACTGCCTCTGTCCAATTTACACAAGCACAGACCCTTTGTTGTGACACTTCATGAAACAATACTACAGTCAAACTTCTTTCATCAGTTGTCCCTAACATGCTTCTAATTGGAGTAATGCATGCCTGACTGAATTTATTAGACAAAATAAGTGGACTCAAACACCTGTCTGCTTAAGGTTAAAGCGTTAATGCAAAAATCCAGGAGGAAAAATGTGACTTTCTGCAAAAACTAACTGAAAAACTATTCAGTGAAAGGCATTCCCAACTGGTCATATCATTCCCCAAAAAGAAGAGGCAAAATAAATACATTTGTTTGACGTGAGCACTTGGGTTTCAACCCTGCAAGTTCCATTATCAGTGTGTTAATTGTGCTGCATCAAACACACACAAAGAGCATAAAAAGAGCATTAAAACACACAATTGTGTATCCATCCTCATAACTGTATCTAGCAGCTATAATTTAAATTAGAACTTAACTCTCAGAAATGTGAGGCAGTAAGAGGCTTTGTGGAATTGAAAAACCTTTATTGTGGAGTAAAACATTATGTTCAAAGTAAAATGATTAACATATTTCATGCAAATTCCAAACACTTTGGTTAAATACAATCAGTGAACCTATCTGTAAACTGTGAAGACCTATGGTCCTCAAGTTCTGTTATGTAAAAAGACGTGACAGGATTCGTCATGTACCCCTGGACCAGCAGCTGATGTTTTGAACATGATGAGTTATACTGGTCTCCTGCTTCATGTGGACCGCTGTGATGGTTTTATCAGCTATTATGGATTTGACCTGCAACAAGGCTGTGTGTCTAGATTTAAAATTAAGTACTGGTAGGCTTTTCTGTTACCTTTGTTGCTTTTATTCTTGTTTTTGCTGAGCAGAAGTTGCATGAATCTCTACTATCTAATTTAGCAGAAGTAAGCCCACAGTGTCAGTCCTTTAATATTTCAGCTGAAGTACAAGTTTTCTGGTATTTTCTCCCAGCTATTCACCAAAGCTTAAAATAAAAGAGGTAGATAATATCAATACACAGCAAGATATCACAACATGTCTGTGTGTATGATGGATGGGAACATACCTGTGTGTCAACACTTAAACTCTTCTCATCTGTCTCTTCTTTAGGTATGGAGACATGGTACCAAAGACAATTGCTGGGAAGATCTTTGGCTCCATCTGCTCCCTGAGCGGCGTGCTGGTGATTGCGCTGCCTGTCCCCGTCATCGTGTCTAACTTCAGCCGCATTTACCACCAGAATCAGAGGACAGACAAACGGCGTGCTCAGAAGGTAAACGCTGCTGTCTTTGTTTTCTCAAGCCAAGTTGAAGGTTAAATGTGAGAGACGTGTGTGAGTTAGTGTGTGCACATACACGAGCATGGTACATCATGATTAGGTCTTGAGTTTCAAAAGACTAAAGCGACAAGATCTCGTGATGTTCTTGAGTTAATGAGGCAAAAAATAGGGGGTGTAATTTTGAGTAAAAAGGTCAGATTGGCTGATGGGAGTGGTTGTGTTAAAAACCCTTTGATGGTCTTTTTTATATTTGAGTGATTAAAATAATAGATGTCCGTGCATAAAATTATGATGATTACAGAGGTTATTTTTTAATTAAAAATGTGAATGAAGCAGCTTTTAAAAGAAAATGATTGAAAGTGATTGACCCCAATTAGAAATTTACTGATTTATTACAATATTTTTGTCCTTCTACTTTATTTTTTTAGCATCATGACAGATGAAGGAAATTTGTCACCCTCCAGATATGCATTAATTTAATAATCTTAACCATCCAGTCCTTCTATTTCTCTTTTTTTCAGACAGACAGACACACATTTCAACTGCAAGTACCAAATGTTAGCCAGACACTCGCCACGGTCTCCCTGTAGGCTTGACCTTTCTGCAGTGCTGCATGAGAGTGCTATTAAGTTAGAGAGCAGCCACTGATAGCTAATTGAGGAGGGGGAGGTCTGAGTTGAATTCACAGAGCTGGGTGGCATTCTAATAAATGCACTGATTTGAATCCCTCAAACAAAATGCAGTGACATCCCTGACACCTCCCAGCTGTCCGGCGTAGCTCCAATCAAGACTCAGTTCAAAGTAAAATACAACTGATGCGCATGTTTGTAGGATTTATTACAGGAGAAGGAGGATGATTATGCTTTCGCCTGTGTGTGCATATGGAGAGGTGGGGGGAAAGTAGGTGTACATCTAGACTCTAGAGCTAATAAATTTTTGGAATCAAACCAATTTAAGATGGCTGCCACATCCAACTGACAATTATTTGCTTTCAACTCTGTTGGCAAAATTATTTTAAAAAAAACTGGACAGAGTATACTGAAACTTTCAGGAAGTAATCATGCTTGCCTGCAACTGATTGTCTTTTAGAGTCAGCACAGTTCAAGATGGCTGCCACAGCTAACTGATCTAAGCCAAAGTATAAAAAAGCAAATTACAATTTGTACTATTTGTACAATTGTCAGTTTTACAGATATGGTGCTAAAATTTGTTGTGGTCGTAGCTGGAAGTCATTCACAACACACACTTCAAGTACTACCTTCGTTCTGCTTGTCTTTGTTTAAAAATTTAGGCATTTTTCCATCATTCAATCTTTATTTATACAGATTAATCCCATTGAGCCTCGGGGACTCATTTACAAGAGAACTGGTTTTAACAAAGAATGATGAAAACAGTGGACAACAAAGACAATAATATACTGTACAATTATAAAGGATGTGTACAAGTTGAGTTATTTCTTTTTTTTTATTCTTTGAGTTGACCCAGTTTGTCTGTCAGCAAAATACCTCATGAATAACTGAATGGACTTTAAATAAATGTATTATTATAGCAATGTAAAACTTCCTGGATGCAGCTCATTAGGTTTTGTAGTCAATCCAAAAAGACAAATACCACAGCTAATCAAAGTCAACACAAACTGACCATAAAATATTACATTTTACAGATTTCCAGCTAAAATTTGATCTGGGGATAGATGAATCAATCACAGCTCATACTCAAAATGTGCGATCTCATACAGTAAAATCACAAAATATTCCTTGTGTTCAACAATGTTAAGTCAGGTCATCTGGACAGTTTCTTTTGTTGTTGAGATGTTTCGTCCTTCATCCAAAGGACTTCATCAGTCCAAGGAGCCACAACAAATTCAGTCCCACAAGCAGCGCACTCAAATAGTGGGCCAACATTCATGTACCACTTACACATGCACTAATCAGCATGTGTCTCTAATCTTGGCTCTTAATTACTTGTTTAGATTGAAATGGTTAGATTAGGTTAGATGTCTTTTTGTATTTATTATAGGTCTGTTTGTATTCATTGTACTGTTGCATATCTGCACTGTGTGTTGTATTGTTTTTGCACGTATTGTTCTGTGTTGCACCATGATGCTCGAGGAACGCTGTTTCACTTCAATATGTACTTGTACGTAGCTGAAATGACAATAAAACCTCTCTAACTCTGAACCAGTTTGATGGGGATAAAATGGGCTTTGATGTTTTGAACCACTTTGGCTATGGCTGCCTCAGAAGAGTCGACGGGGGAGAGGGCAGACTCCAGAAACCATCTTATCACCAGCAAACTGGTTGGTATGTGAGTGTGCTGCTTGTGGGACTGAGTTTGTTTTGGCTCCTCCTTAGACAGATGAAGTCCTTTGGATGAAGGATGAAATGTTTCAACAAAAAAGAAACCGTCCAGAGGACCTGACTTAACTTTGTTGAAATTTTTTACCTGGATTATTGAGCATGAACTTTGATATTCCTCATGTTCCTTTCAAGGTTTGGCCAAAAATATTACATCTCAGTCATTTCTCATCATAAGGTGATCATAGTCTAAAGCACTGACATGAAAGGAGGTGGGCGATATGCGTTCCTTTAAGAAATTGGCTTTAATCTTCTTACATTTTTTTAAGTGAAACAGAGTTTTTACCTCATTGTCACCCAGTATTTGCTCAGAGCCAACTGTTGAGCTTTTAAGTGCCTTAGGTTTGCCTACTGATTGGTATAGGTGTTTTGCAAAACAAAGACACTATGCCAATGTGAAAGTCATTATCAGTAGTTTGTTGCATGAACAATGGGCTGCATATTTTATATGGGATAGTGGTGCAGCTCTTAGGACTGTTTCTTCACTACAAAAATAATTGAACTTGTTTTTGAGTCGTTTTTGTGTCTGAGTTTGCATTTTCTCCATGTATCTGTGTGAGTTTATGGGCGTTTCAGTGTGGACGCAAAATCCAGAGGTACTTGGCAACGTCATTCATACACGCTCACTATGAAGTTGTGCCGTAGGAACTGAATCAAGATCAGAGGCATTTTTAGCAGTTTCATTGCTTCATTTTAATCCTGTCATCCATACGCATTAATTGTGTGCTGAACTGGTTGATTAAATAAAAGGAAATTGTGAACGGTTTAAAAGATGAGAGCCAGTTATTTGGGGGAAATCTTTAGCCATGCGAGTAATGTACTTTCTCTGGTTGTTGTTATAATTCTTTTGTGGACGTTCTCCCCATAGTGGGGCATTAATTTTTCAGTGTTTTTGTTCAAATGTGGGAACGGAGGGAAAAAAAATACAAAAAGATAAGAAAATGTCTATTAAAAAATATCCAGAGAACAAGCAGTACCTCATTTTTGTTTTGTTTCTTTGCTCACAGTCCAAGGGCATACATTTTAAGGATATTGTTAATTCTAAATTGGCTGTTGCTTTTTGTACCAGGAATGTGATAAAATCTGATAATGGGGCCTTCTTTTCACTTCCTGTCTAGTGTCAGCTTGGATAATGTTTACCCATGTATGTGAATGTGCACACATGGCATGTATTTTGGCTGGTTTAACTATTTTAAAACTTTATAGCAAAAAGGGTTTGAGATTATTTTTGTTTGTAGAATCTGATTATACAGTATATACATACTCGTATTTTTTTGTACTTTGGCCATGATCTAAATCATTCTGCAACAACTTCTAAATGGTACCAGGGCAATAATACGTTACTGGGCTCCTGTGACCTGTTCCTTTTTACAAATACGAAAAAAATCCCCCTTCAATGAACTTTTCCTTTTCCCTGTGGCATCATTTCTAAAACAAAACAAAAGAACAGAAAAAAATGTAAGATTTGTTGTATGCAGTAACCCTGCTCATCTGTTCCACCACTCTCATATTATTATATCTCTCCTGGCCTCTCTTTCCTCTCTAGATCTCATTTGTCTTCATTCTTCTATACCAACACATTGCTTCAGGCCCCTGTTACAATTATGTATTCATTTGGGAGTTCCACGTTACAAAAAGGGTCTTTTTATGTACCAAGCACTGCCTTTCAGTCCTAAAATTTAAAGTAGAAAATCCTAATTTTATTTAATGATAGTCATTGTCTCGCAGCTCCTGCAGTGTCTGTTCTTTAGTTTCAGTAACCTGCAGAGAGATTAACAAGCCACAGAAACAAACCCTGGTACTTATGCCCCTAAATCACTGATGAGTTTAAAAAAAAACTGCATTAAAAAAAATTGGTTCTTCTTTTATTCATGCATAAATCAGCTGTGCAGTAGTCACCATCAAAGTGATGGTGAGTGTCGAGGCAGTAAATGGATTGAGGTCACACTGGTAATGGGACAGCAAAGTCAAGTGGAACTACACAGAAACCTGGCACGTTGGTGAGCAAGAAGAAAAATAAAATAAAATAAATAGATCGGAGATGGGAGGGCAAAACTAGACAATTACAGGACACAGTGGAAAAGAGAGAAAAGGTTTGGCTAAAGGGAATGAGATGAGGACATGAAAAAAATGGTGGAAAGCAAATATAAGATAGTCTGCTGGAAATAGTCAGATTGAGTAGTTTCAAAGCCCACTTTTCAAAACTGATTCCTTTTCTGCTGCAATCGAGCCTAAATGTTGGACTTGATTTGGGTTGAAATTTGTCCCTCTTTGCTTTTAAAAGAGTTGAGAAAGGATGTTTTTTAATGAATCAATCCCTTCTTTGTTTTAAGGTAGTATAGTTAGTTCCAAACAAGATTTTTTTTTTTACACATTTAAATAATTCAACCTAATTTATGTTTCTTCAAGATTCAAGAGTCAAGATTCTTTATTGTCATTCACATCACATGTGGTACATGAGCTGGAATGAAACTGTGTACTTAAGGTCCTCCAAAAAATAGCAAAAATATAAAGTATAAAAAGAAACAGTGTGCAAGGATTTAAAATATACGCTAAACAATAATAATGTAATATAATACGGTGTATTAGACAGCAGCCTGAACATGAGTCTGTTGTGAGCAGATGGGTATGAATACGGAAGCTGAAAGGCATGAAATCAGCAGCATGGATAAGCAGCAGCATGGATAAGCATCAGCACAGATAAAGTGACATATCACCCATCAAAGTGGCAGTACAGTGGTTATTCTGATCAGCGATTCATGAGTCTAACAGCTTCAAGGTAGAAGCTGTTCCTCAGTCTAGTGGTTCTACACTTAATGCTCCTCAACCTCCTGCCTGAGGGGAGCGGGGCCAAAAGTGTGTTCTGGGTGAGTGGAGTCCTTCATGATGCAGGTGGCTCTCTTCCTGCATCTGGAGGTGTAGATGTTTGTGATGGTGGGGAGACTGACTCCAACAGTTTTCTGTGCAGCCTTCACCACTCTCTGCAAAGCCTTTCTTTCTGCAGCTGTGCAGCCTCCATGCCACACGTTGATGCTGGAGCACAGGATGCTCTCCACTGAACACCTGTAGAAGGAGGTGAGGACTGAGCTTCCCAGACCAGCTCGTCTCAGCCGTCTGAGGAAGTAGAGTCTCTGATGAGCTTTCTTGATCAGGTTGGCAGTGTTGTTGCTGCAGCTGAGGTTATCATTCCGGTGCACTCCCTGTACTTGTAACTGGAGACCACTCCCACCACAGATCTTCCTATGTTCGGAGTTGGAAATAAAAACAAACTACAAACAAACCCAAATATGAAACATATTGAGAACAAACGTTCAAGTGTTTGCATTTGGGCAATAGATCAAATCAGGCAGTAAAGTTTTGCTTGATCAAAGATCTGACAAAATGATACAAATTAAACTGTGTCAACTACTAATTAGAAGCTGCTTCTGTTGCTAGAAACTGATACTGGCAATCGAAAGAAGCTACTTTAAAAATGTAAAGCTTCTTTGATCTCATATAACCTAAAAGATTATATAACATTATGTTCCCAGTTTGTAACAAATATGTAGTCAAAGTGTTAAACACATTGAAGCCCTTACTTCTATATAAGCTTTCAGTGGCAATAAAGAGCCACGCTGACCTTCATGATTTGATTCATGTTGTTCTGCCTCTGGAAAACTATTTATTAAATGTAATATCTGTGCCTGAAATATGTTATGAATGTTGTACTCACCAGCCTGGTACAGATATATATTTTTTGGTTATAATTTTATGATTGACAGACGTTTTATTTTAAGGTTACAGGGGTTTATTTCTTTTTGTTTGACAGTCAACAAATTGACATGATAATTTGCTGTCTTGACAACTTTGCAAGCATTTTAGGGCGTTGCTGACTTTTTTTTTTTTATTAACTAAATAATTCAAAATGTATCCATAAAAGTTTTGAGATCCCTAAAACTAGGCTGACTAAGATGGTATACGTGGTACAATTTGCCAATGTACATTTGAACAATAAATCATTGGAGGGAGTTTTACATAGTGATTTCTCTAAAACACTATCAATCATTTGTGCACTATTCTTCAACACGAACACCTCAAGACTAACACATAAATATTTCTGAGGTGGCTACATAAAAAACAGACTTATAAAAGACGGGGTTTCTCCACTTACGGAAAGATCAAAATAAATATTTCTTTCGGTTTAGTCTCCTTTTCAAGTTGTGCTTTGATCAATAAGAAAAGCAGTCTGCACCCAACACAGATTTCACTTTCAAATTATTTCACGTTTCAGCTCCACTTACAGAAAAAGGAAAAAAATAAACTATGATCCATTTTTACACTTTGATCTTACATACCACTCACAAATGCACAACTTTTATTACTACGGCGCTGGTTTTAGCACTGCTCGCACCTTCACAGGTATCTAGAGTCTGACTGACAAGTTTTGAAGCATCAAAACTAACCCTATTACGTTTGATTCACGTCTGGTAAGCAGATATCACTCTGTCTGTCTCCTGATTGTGAAATACATTTACAGGGGAAGGCTAGAGCAGCTAGACAAGGTTAAAGAAATCACTCACCTTGTGTGTCCACAAGTTGCTCAGGAAGTCGTTCTAATATCACTTCCTTTTTTTTTTTTTAAATGGCCGATTCAATTTCTCTCTTATTTTCTGACTGCTTCATTCTGTTATTGCATCTGTAGATAAAATAATTTTATCTTTTGGCCTCAGAGAGAAGTTATTGCTTGTCTGGAAAGTTGAACACAGGGCAAGATTTTCTTTCTTACTTTTACTAAAAGTAAATGTTGCCAAAAAGTCTTTGAAATGAAGTTCTTTTTATTTTCCGCTGATAATTGGATTGTTGTAACTTGTAAAAATGGCACCAAAGTGGTAAATGAAAACAATTAATAATAATAATGGTTGTAATCAAAGCAGCTGGATTTGACTGTGTTTAAATTATACTTTAAGTTCTTTATTTTTGCAACATTCAAAGCCGTTTTAAATTTAATGATTTCATTATTCATTGTACTAATACATTTTGAAAATGATTATCAGGTGTGGATGAGTGGTTAGAGCAGTCATCCTCCAAAGGGAGAGTTGGGGGTTTGATTCCAGCAGTCACATGTTGAAGTGTCCCTGGGCAAGACACTGAACCCCTCACTGCCTCTGGTGTGTGTCCCATCGGTGTATGGATGTGATAAAGCAGATTATTCTCTACAGATTCAGATTAGCTTTGTAGAGATGTAGTAGAGTGTTGTATGTGTGTGGAGGGAGATGAGGGCACAGACTGTGTTGCACTTTGAGCATCTTGATTAGATAGAAAGGTGATATACGAGTACAGTCCATTTACCGTTAATTCCGAATTTACTAACTTGAATACACTTGTCCTCCTTGGTTTGAATTTTGATTTTAAAAAAGCTCTATAAATTATGAACATTCATAACAAGGTTTTAAATGAAAAGTCAAAGGTCTAATCTCAGTTTTTATTTTCACCTCCTGATGATGTGCAGGAGGATGAAGGACTGTCCCATTGTTCAAACATCTAATGCATTTTGAGTTTGATACAATTTTCCATCAGTTTCCAAAGTTTGCACCTTTCCAGCCTTTGTTGATTTTGCTGAAAGACTGCCACTGCGTCGAACCTGGCTGACCTCTCACGTCAAAACATAGCCTTCAGGACCCATGCAGAGCCTGAACACAGACAATAATAATTCTCAGAGAAACTCTGCCTTGGGCAGTAATGGACCTGTGGTCGACTTCTACAACACTTGAAAATGTATTAACATACATGATACAGAAATGTCACAAACATGGAAGCCCAGTTACGTATAGACACATTTTGTCTGTTGACAAATTCCACAAAATAAAAGTTTGATCAAATCATAATCTTTATTTCATAACTTGGGCTATTGGCAAATACAGATTCAGAAAATCCAATGATCAAATATTTAGTGAATATTTCTTTTTGTTTTCTTGTAGCCGTTTGAAGCTTTACCGTATTAATCTTGAATAGCAAAACAAAACATTTTTTTTTTTGTCATTTGTTCTTCCATACATTAATTCTTCATCAGGATTGCTCCAGTCTCAAGCCTATCTCTGATGTACAAAGCAAGAGAGATAGTAGGTCTATCACAAGACTAGGGAGAGAAACAGTGACACAAACAAACAGTTTTGATTCTCCAAATTGCCCAACAAAAAGAAAGAAGGAAACGAGGATCAGTCATTGCTTCAGTCGGGATTCAAACCAAGAACACTTATGAATGAGATGAGTTAGAATCAGAATCATATTGACCCAGAAAATATGTGTCAAGACTTATGAAATATTAATTACAATTATTCTCCTAATTTAACGTTAGACATCTTTGAGCTTTTGCTTTTCCTGAGCAGCCCTCAATAAACCTTCAATCTTACATTTTGTCCAAGTTTAAGCTGTGTCTGTTTGGGTCCATCTAAGTAACAGAGGTGTTGAAGTTGATCATTTAAACATTTTAAACAACTGTGCGCTTTTTTTGCACTGCGGCTGTGGTTTAGAAAAGGTTCTATTCTGTCATAGCGATTGCCCTGAGGACAAATCCAACTCCACACAGAAAGGGTTTACAGAATTTGCTCCTAAGAAACTTTTTTTTAGCCAGCACAGAGCAACTCCATCCAAACACGTTTTGTAGAAATCCAGCCTCAGCGTCCAGCATCACTAACACTTTTGGTTAGATGGCAGCCCATCTCTGCTGCAAGGCTTCAGTAACTGTGGAAAGCCAAAAAGTACAGGATGCCCATGCAGCTACGTACAGTAAATATGTCCATGTCAAAATGAACACATGCAAGATTTGGTATCCTCATACATGGGGACACTGCATTCCAGATTTATTAAGCTCTTCTACAGTTTTCATTATACACAAAATAGAGAAATAACTTTAGTTTGATAGGAGCTATAAATGATTTGGTGATGATGAGATGTTAAGCTTGTCATTGAATAAGGCATTAGCCATCCTTTGTGACTTCCTGCCCACCTTGTCTGATACTGTGACCTCTTTCTCTTCCCACTCACAGAAAGCCAGGCTGACCCGGATAAGAATAGCCAAATCCAGCAGTGCCAACGCCTTCCTCCAGGGCAAACGCAACGGACTCATCAATGAATTGCTGGAGCTGACGGTGAGAAAACCCTCTCTGACCCCTCTATGAGATGCAAACAACGAACTGGTTTTCATCAGTCCTGGAAAACTGTTTCAGTTGATGTCAATGAAAATCTTCTGCAATGCCAGCAGATTCTATTTGCATTTTAGACATGGATATTATTACTCCAAGTTAAACACCCGTCTCCTAATTATTTCAGTCCACTGCAACTCAATAGCTTGGAGGCAACAACTTCACATCTGAAGTACAAACTCACACAAACAAAATGTCATCCATTATTGCCATGATTAACCAAAAGACAATTTAAAAGTAATTTAGAGGCTATAAAAGTGCAGCAGAAGCAAGAGTCATTAAATTGTTGTTGTTACACGGGGCAGGGTTGATAGCAGAGGAGTTATGTGTATAATTCTCCGTGCCGGTGTTATCAGCGCAATCACATAAAGTGCTTTTCCTGTTGTCCTTCAGTCTGAGATGTGATTTAACTCAGCTGTGGTTTCCCACAGCAAGCTAATAGAAAAGAGGAGGCTTTTACTTGCGTGTTGAGTAGCTCTTTATGAGAATTAAATGACCAAAATAATGTTGTTGTTTTTTTTCAAAAATATTTGTTACCAGATTAGATCGATTTATAGACAAACAGAATATTTTAAGTAATAGTCAATATGGGTTTAGAGCAAATAATTCAACATCAATGGCAAGTATTGTGTTAGCGTTTTTGTTGATTTAAAAAAGGTTTTCGACACTATTCACCACACCATTCTCCATGAAAAACTGAATAAATATGGCATTAGAGGATTAGCACTACAGTGGGTATCTAGTTATTTGATTAATAGGAGACAGTTTGTACAGGTAAACAATTTAAGATCTAAATTTTGTGTTAATGGATGTGGAGTTCCTCAGGGCTCTGTGTTGGGACCAAAGTTGTTTTTTTTGTATGTGAATGATCTGGTTGATGTGTCAGGGCTTTTGAAGTGTGTTTTATTTGCAGATGATACCACATTGTTTTGTTCGGGTGAAGATATTGAACGTATGTTAGAAATGAAACAGGCAGAATTCGTAAAAATACAAACTTGGTTTCAACTTAATAAGTTATCATTAAATTAGGAAAAAACAAATTACATGATATTTACCAACAATTTTCAGTCAGCTCATCTGGACAGTTTCTTTTTTTTTGTTGTTGAAACGTTTCACTTTCCATCTGGAAGGCTTCATCAGTCAAGGAAACACACAACACAAAACTGATTTTTCCCCCAAACAGCTTACTCCAAAGTGGAACAAACCAGTTATGTTGGTGCTAAGATGGTGTCTTTGGCATGCCCCCTCCTGTGGTGCCGGCCCTCTTCCTCTTCGACAGTCATGTCAAACTGGTTCAAAACCAAAAAAGACCTGACTGAAAATTGTTGGATTGTATACCTGGATTATTGAGCATGGACATTTTTGATACATGATATTTAGTAATAGAAAGAAAATTATCAAAGTCCCATTTAAAATTGACAGTATTGAAATTCATAGAGTTGAAAAAAAATGTTGGGGTGTCGATATTGATGAGAAGTTGACATGGAAATCTCATGTAAATTACTTGAGAATAAAAATAGCTAAATCAATTGCATTACTGTTTAAAGTAAAATAGCTTTTGAATGACAAAGCTTTGTATATATTGTATAATGTGATGATTGTTCCATATTTTCAGAGTCAGAGTCAGAGATTCTTTATTGTCATTCGCACCTCATGTGGTACATGTGGTGGAGCGAAATTATGTACACAGGATCCCAGTTACATCCAACAATAAAATGTAGAAGAAAAACAGTAATAACATCTAAGATATGAACTAAGAAAAACATCAACTAAATATACACTAAGCACTAATAACATAAAAACATCGAACATCAGCACAAACATGAACATGAGTCTGCGTGAGCGGATGTGCATGCATGAACACATAAACATTGAAACAGATCAGCAGCAACATGAAACAGATCACCAGCAACATGATGTGATTTTTCACAGTGATTATTCTAGTTAGAGATTCATGAGTCTAACAGCCTCAGGGTAGAAGCTGTTCCTCAGTCTAGTGGTTCTACACTTAATGCT